CCTACTCCCCCCCTCCCCCATCCACAGCCCCTCCTCCCTCCTTAGTTTTAGTTGATAGTATAAATAGGTAGAATGTAGATTTTTTCAATAGTATAGATAGGTAGAATTTTGTAGAATGTACATAGAATTTAAGTGGTTAATAGAACTAGTTTATTTATAGTAAGTGTTTAACAGAGTTAGTTGAATTAGTAAGAAAATTAATTATTTTTATTTATAGTAAGTGCTTAGTTGAACTAGTTGAATTAATAGAACTAGTTTAATTTTTAGTAAAAAAAATTAAGTAAGGAAATTTAATTATTTTTATGTCATTATCACTTTGTCATCAAAGAATGCTCTATGAGATTTGATGATCTAAAATTTTACTCGGTGGAATATGCAGGCTTTGTAGAGTCGTGTCTCCTTGGAGTGATCGTCATCCGAGCTACCTCTACTTCCTCTACATCTAAGTCAGTGAGTTAAAAGTCCACCTCCTCCTTCTCCACTCCTCGGTGTGTTGAATAGAATAGAACTAGGGTATTTAGTTGGTGAGCTCATGTGCGAATGCTTATGATAATTGATCCGGGTGGAATTGCATGTTTAAGCATCATTGTATGTGTATGAACATCTTTGTATCGCAGGGAAAATCCGAGTGGCTATGTTTTTTCGAAGTGTTGATTCATTTCTGTTCCGGCAAATTTTAGGCACTCGATATGTCCTATTTTAGCAAAGGTCATGCCGAATTTTTCCGTGAATTTAAGCATGACTTGTGTTAGAATATGTGGAAAATGTCGAGTGCCCCGGAGTTTCCTGGTAGTTGCCTTCGATCGATTTTTAATTAATGTTTCAACTATGAACATAGGAAATGTCTGACGATGAAAAGGATTTCGGTATGTGCGAATACCGCGAAGACGAGCGCGGCCTGTGCGACAGAAATTTCTTAGTTGATGGTAGACGCTTCAGCATCAAGCTGGATGAGACCTTCGAAGTGGATATAGTAAGTCACAACGACAAGTCTTTTTTCGTAATTAAGCATGACTTCTTCTTCTTTTGCTTTAACTTATAATTTTAATTTTTTACTATTCTACTAGCGTATCCCCTGCCATGAGAGAATTTTTGTCTTGGATAAGATTGGTTTCAGTACTATAGAAACTATGGAGGTTAAGAGAGTTCAATTGAGGACTGAGCATGGTTATACTTTTACCGCAAAATTATGCGATGGAGACACCTACATCTATTTTGAATGCAAAAATTGGAGAGCACTATGCAAGGCTTATGCATTTGAGTCTGCTATGCTCATCACCTTTGATATTCGTCCGGAAGATGATATTGAAGGTAATGTTGACATCTGGGTCGATGTGCAGACGCCTCCAGTTCTACCATTATGTGAGTTTCTCAACCATATTTATGTCTTGGATATTGTTTATTCAAAAATAGTTGACAACTATTTTTTATTGACAGCTTATTTCCATTCAAGCAAACATGTCCGGCGCTTGGTAGATATGACCTACTACTGTCCCGAGACTGAACTAAACTGCAAGGAGATAAGTCATTATGTTTCATGGCTTGAGGATCTTCATACTGTCAAGACAAATTATTTTCCTAGACTTGAAAATCTTAGTACTCAAAACGTGCGACCACTAGCATGCGTATTGAACTATGGTCACATCTATTCAGGAAAGATGGTAAGATTTTTACTATCTTTAGTGCATCTTTTGCATACATTATTTTTAAGCTAAACTTCATTGCTAAGTATGTTACTACGATGTTCTTTCAATGGAACTCCTGATGATAGTTGTGGCTCATTGGATCAAGGCTAAAGGTCGCATGAAAATGGTTAGCTTACGGCCAAGACATCCTACATTGCACATGAGTGCATTCACGATTTCTAAAAGCAAGCAAGTCTTAGTAGTCAAAGACTGGAGCAAAATTGTGAAGAATCGCAGAGAAGTACTAGGGGACAGCAGTCAGAAGCGCAACCCACAATTTGGAGACAGGTTCATCTGCATGCTCCAATATGATGAATCAGGAATGCTACACATGTTCTATGCTATTTTACCTGAGAGAGAGCAGCAAGAGTGATTAGCTAGCTAAAATGAGTGTTGGTGGTGATGACTATGATGATTATTATTAGCTAGTGTTGGTGGTGATTAGACGAAAATCCAAATCGGTGCCCAGGCTCATCTGCTCCCTGTCAGAAAAAAATTCAAAATAAATACTAGAATTTTTTTAAAAAAAATCCAATTTTTATTGCGTGGTAGATAATTTGATGCACGAGGTCCGCTCGAAATTTGAACTCATTTGGATATCTGAGCAGCTCTCGGCAAAAAAGAAAAATCGGGTCAAAACAGTGCGTGAACAATAAACTCTTTTACAGACCTCGATTTTGTCTTTTTTGCAGAGAGCTGCTCAAATGTCCAAATGAATTGAAATTTGCAACAAACCTCACACATCGAATTATCTAGCACACAAAAAATATTTGGATTTTTTTGAATTTTTCTAGTATTTGTTTTGATGTTTTTCGTCAACACGGGTGCAGCTGAGCCCGGGAGCAGAAACGCCACACTCGTGATTAGATAGCTATACTATGACTATGATGATTAAATAGTGTTGGTGGTAATGACTATGATGATTATTAGCTAGTGTTGTTGGTGATGATATGATGCAAGAGTTTTTATATTAATATGATGATGATGATGATGATGAGTTATTATATCATTGGGTGAAAGAACCGTGGTAGTTTCAAGTGGATGGATCCTAAGGATCCATCCATTTGAAACTAATTCGCGGTTCTTTCACCTAGTGATTTAATAACTCATTATAATATAAAAACAATCTCTAAATTGCTACTGGATGAAAACTTGTATAAAGATGTATGAATACGACATAAAATAAAAAAGAAATAGAATACAGAATAATAGTAGTAGCGCGGGCAGTGAGACGCGCTACTACTAAGTAGATATAGCAGTAGCGCGTGTTAACAAACGCTACGTCTAACCTTTAGCTGTAGCCCCGTAGCAGTAGCGCGGTTACCCGCGCAGCGCGGTTACCCGCGCTACTGATAGGCCAAAAACCCGCGCTACTGATAGGCTTTTCCCTGGTAGTGATATCTTCAAGGTCACACCAATTTCTTCATTTTTAAAGTCTTCAAGAAAACCAAAATCTTCATCTGAAGTCATTCATTTTTAGGGGTCGACATTCATCGGATGTATCAAACTCCTCAGAAACTCATATGGCCTGTGTACACTCATAAATACATTAGTCCCTCAACTTATAAGTCTTCAATACATCAAAATTACTAAGGGGCACTAGTTGCACTTACACAGATACTGAAATATGGACCATGAAACATATCAAATCTCCTGCCTACTCTACTTGATAACATAGGAGTATTATTCTACACATGAAACAGAAAACTGTGAAACAGAACAAGCACTCCTCCCTTTGTACAGCTTCGGCTCTGTTTTTTTTTCTATACAGTTTCGGCTCTGTTCTATGTAGGCTGGTGTCTTTTACCTCTTCATAAATGAAAGCCGCATTTTGTCTAAAAGGAAGAGAAAAATTGACCTCTTGAGGTTTGTAGAGAGAGAGAGAGAGAGAGACCTCATGATGCAGAACATGGATTCAAATCTTAATGCATGTTAGATTTCAGTTTTCTTAGATAATGAAGGGATTACAGTGCTGGTCTCTGGACCTGAAGGTGCAGACAATCCATTATTACAAATTAAATCCCCGCAAATTCGTGAATGAAATAAAAGTAAGAAACAACAACCATACAACACACCAAGAATTCAATACATGTTTTAATATATATTTTAGCATACAAATGTAGTCCGTGATATAGCAATCAGGGAAGTGGTACACCGGCAGGCGCAATGTTGATACCCAGAGTGCGCTTCCTCCGTGTCAAAAGATCTCCTGCCCGTTTAGCGAGGACGGATGAGAGAGGCTTCAGAGGAACCCCATGACAGTCATGACAGACGCCGGTGAAATGCATGCTGCTCTCGAGCCGGTCCATTGTTTTTGAAGCCTTCAGTAACGTACCAATGATATCGTGCTTGTCAATCACTTCGACGTTTCCATCATCTTGGAGGAATTCTTCAACCATCTCGCAGGTGAGCTTCTGTATCGCCAGGCATGTAGGGGTGGCATAGATGTTGTCCTCCACCATCTTCTTGAGCATCACCACAAAGTCTTCCAGGGTATTCGGCGGCGTCTGAGAAAGTAAGATTTCTGTAAAATTAAGATTGTTGCTTGCACGAATCTTTGTGATGAGTGATAACAGCTCTGCTTGTAGCCTCCTCCCGTCACATTGCTGGTTGCGGCTCCGTAAAGCGGAAGGCTTGCCTTCCCCACCGTCACTTGGATTTTCTATGTCACTTCTACTTCCTGAATTGTAATGGGTGACACGCTCCCAACACCGGATTCTGTGTGTACCTCTCGCTTCCGCTTGTTTTACAGGAAGCAACTCTGTGAGTACCTGCAATGATATTCATACGTATTATTTTAGCTCAAAAAAGTTGAGAGAGTGGATTGTACATGTATGTGTACCTAATTATCTATCTTAAAACTTCCTCAAAAAGTTCATAGATGTGCCTCAAGTTATAACATGAGCACCTATAAAAGATCATGCAAAAATATGATCAAATATACCTTGCACAAAGAAACAGTGAAAACTTGAAAAAAAGTGTAATAGCAAACACTTGTCTTTATTTCTAACAAACAAACATGATCTTTTTTTTCTGCATGAAATTTATAGATTCTCATGTTATTACATGATGCATTCTAAACATTTTCTGGGATGCATAATTGAATAAAACCTAAACTCAAGCGCCCACCATTGCATGTACATTTCATTTTCCCAAAGCTTTATTGTTGAAAACTTGTGGCATACAGTAGGTGCATTCAGGCATATATACCTTCCGTAAGGTTGGTGCCTTGATGTAGTTGCTCAAATGCTTTAAGATGACTGTTGCGCTAATACGACAACCAATTTTGATCTCTATTTCCATAGTATCTGTTGCACTTATTTTGCATTTGATGGTCTTGATATTGGAGTCGAGCAATTCAGTAAGACGACAGACTTCGTCATCTTTGCATGCTGTGAAGCTCTTGATGGCCTCTGAATCACATGACAACATGGCCAATGCTTCACCAGCCTTTTCTTTAAGCCGGCTTGCAGTTTCCTGAGCTTCTTTCATCTTCTTTTTCCCCTGTGCTAGCATTGAACGTTGAGTTGGTTGGTCGATCTTCTTTTTCTCATCTTCCAAATAATCTCTCATCCAATCCGCAGTAACAAAGATGTGTAGCGCCTGCTTGATAAGTCTTTCTCTTCCCCTAGTAGCAGAACTTGTTGGATGATGCAAGGCTAATTGTGTAAGAACCTCTATAGCTTGCACATGTAGCTCTATGACACCGCTGCCGCTCTTGGTATCCATGTCAAGAATGGCCTCCAAATTACTAACTGCATTGCTATCATTTGCGATTAGGTTGCGCATCTCTTCTCCGGTGGTTCCTGTAGAACCCATGAGCCGGCTCACCACTTTTAGTGACATGTGTAATACCTTGGTCCATGCAGTGCTGCTCTTGATGTCTTCTATTAATTCGTTGGAGCTGATAGGCGCAACAATTTTTGAAAGAAGATCCTTGGTGTTGTATATCAGTGTGCAGTTATGCCTGTCGTGGGCCAGGTTCTCTAGAATTCTCAACCCTGGCAAAACCAGATCCCGATCAATTTCTTCACCATTCTCCCTCTGCCCAGGTACAAATGTTAAAAGGAGTGTATCTTCATCGAAGAGGGAGGATACACATTCCAGTGCTCCTGGAAAGTGAGCTAGGTTGAGGTCAGCAGCGAGATGCTCCACAAGCCTTGCTGCAAGCCATCTCATCTCTTGGTCTTGTGGGCTTCTCCAGGCAAGGGTTCTAATCAGCTTCTGAATTCTTTGTCTCGGTGACCTCATCAACAACCGTCTTATCTGTAATGGTGTACTCTGATCAATCAGCATAACTAGTGCCCTTCCTCCAGACGCATAGTCCTCCGGGCATTGGGAATCCAGCAAGTCGGCACCATAGGTGATCAAATTCCAACTCACTCTGGACTCTGGGTTGTTTTGGCACATCTCACTGGTCTTGCGCGAATATGCACGAAGTACCGTAGGACTGAGACCATGGTTTTGAGCAATACTAGACAATGCCTTTCTATTAATAACGGCGCCAAGCACCGTACACGATAAGAACATTGTGCCCTGAGCAAGAGATACACAATAGAATAAGTTGAGTGCTGGCTTCAAGTTTGCTTTACTTGTGTCTCCGTCGGCGATGCCATAGTCTTGCTTTGCTAAACGAAGCACCGATAGCATAGCACACAAGAATGGCCCAGACAGTGCCAAGTACACCACGGGTATAAATATCCCAAACAGAATGCGATCCACTATTGTTGATTCTAGAATGAGATCCACTATTGTTGATGCTTCTCTCGTCCGCCGTTGTTCCCTGGGCAACTGAGTACGTACATCATGATGCTTTCTTTCTGTACGTATGATGTCATAGAAAATACTTGATATCCAAACCCGAAAGGACACCATGCGAGCATCTCCCATCGCGTCAGATAGCCTGTGTTTATTCCAAATAGAGCAGGACGCAAGGTCAGTATGAAAGTTAAGAATGTCGTCACACAAAAAGAACAAGATATCCAATATTGGGTGGTGCACTGGTGCTTATGAAGGTCACACCTCATTTGAAAGGGTTATTTTTATAAATGCCACTTCAAATCTGGCGATTCCGAGAAATGCCACTGCAATTTCCAAACTTTGAAAAATGCCATTTCATGCCATTTTCAGTGGCATTTTTAGAAGTCTGGAGTGACGTTTTTCAAAGTTTGCAAAAATTGCAGTGACATTTTTCAAAGTTTAGAAATTGCAATGGCATTTTTGTGAATCACCATAATTGGAGTGGCATTTATCTAATTCGAAAAGCAATCAAGGCGCCCAAGTTAATTGTCTGGAATTTCACGCGCAAGAAGCTAGCTTTGGTTAATCATAATGACGACGTCCTGGAGGATGAATTAGTCGCCGTTGCCTGCACCACTAGAGTTTCTCCATATTGTTGTTGCTTAGTGCTCCTTTTGCTTCACGATTTTTGGTTAGCGTGGTAGAATTGTGTCCTCTGCTGGTTTTCGGTGCCTAGCTCTTCTGTCAAATAGTTGCCTTTATTTCAAAGTAACCCAATACCTAAAGTTGTGGAATATGCTATTTGGCGCTTATAGCGCCAAATACAGTACAATTGGTACACAGGGGCGCCCTACATCTCGTCTTCAGCGAGTCCAGCTTCTGACTCACCGAACGGGGAGCGAGATAGTCCAGCCCACAGGCGCCGCAGGCCACGACCTCTTTTTTGGGGTTTTTTGTTCTTGTTTTTTGTTTATTTTTAATTCTCTTTATACTTTAAAATATTCTACACATATATATTAAAAAAACACTATACAAAACACATTTGAAATATGTTGAAAAAGTATTTGAAAAGTATTGAATAACCATTCGGGAAAATGTTGAATGTGTATAGAAAAATTGTTGATCATGTATTAAAAAATGATGAATTCTTTTGATCATGTATATAAAGATGTTAATCAAGCATTATGAAAACAATGTTGAACACGTATTTAAAAAAATGTTAATCAAGCATTTGGGAAATGTTAAATGTGCATAGGAAAAATGTTGACCATGTATTAAAAGACGATGAATTTGTTTTACATGTATATAAAAATGTTAGTAAGCATTTGAAAAAATCTTGAACAAATATTGAAAAATATTGACCAACTATTTAAAAATGTCGAACAAGTATTTGGAAAATGTTAAATGTGTATAAAAAATGTTGACCATGTATTAGAAAACGAAGAATTTTTTAACATGTATATAAAAAATGTCAATTAAGAATTTGAAAAAATGTTGAACAAATATTTGAAAAATATTGACCAAGTATTTAAAAATGTCGTACAAGTATTCGGAAAATATTAAATGTGTATAGAAAAAATGTTGACCATGTATTAAGAAAATGAGGATATTTTTTGATCATGTATATAAAAATGTTAATGAAGCATTTTAAAAAATACTATTGAACAAGTGTTTGAAAAATGTCAATCAAGTGTTTGAAAAATGTTTGACCACGAATTTAACTTTTTAAATATTTTTTATTTGAAAAATGTTAATCAAGCATTTAAAAATATATTTAAAAATATTGACCATGTATTAAAAACATGTTAATCATGTTTTTGAAAAATGTGTATAGAAAATGTTGAGAATGTATTACATTTTTTTTAATTTCTATTAAAAAAATAGTAGACGTGTATTAGAAAAATGTTGTTGGCATGTACAAAAAATTGTAAGATAATAACCAAATGAACAAACAAAATCAAAAGGGAAGTAAAATAAACATGAAAATAAAAAAAAGGAAGAAACAAAATGCAAGAAAGAATGAAAAAAATGTAGAAAAATAATACCATGGCAGGCAACTTGGCGGGGTGGCAAGCCGCACCCATGGTTTGCCTAGAGACGAGGGGTCAATCCCTACTTGTCCCATTTCCTGTCCTATTTATAATCGTTATGCGTACGCAAGTGGACCGGCTGAATATGACGCAGGAAGAGAGAAAACGTTCAGTAAGAGATCCCTCTCGTCTCGCTTAGTGCGCACACACTCCTGGCCACGGATTATAATGGGCCGGTCCATCTAGCCAACACCCAGTACATTTTCTCAGTTTCTTCTTCTTCAGTGTTTTATGCTGGTTTTCTCTTGTTTTATTGTTAATTTTTTTTATCATTTTATTCTTCTATTACGTTCATAATTTTTGGTTTAATATCTATTTTTAGTTTTAGTTTTTAAAAACTTGTGGAGCTCTCTTGGCTTAATCTTATTCTTCTCTTGTTTTAGTTTTTAAAAACATGCGTGGACTCTTGTAGCTAAAAGTATGTTGGAGCTCTCTTCGGGTTGTTATTACTTACGGAATTTTTGGGTTACTTGTTGGAAATATGCCCTAGAGGCAATAATATTTGATTATTATATTTCTGTATTCATAATTAGGAGTTTATATTTCATGCTATAACTGCTATGATCCTGGAATGTGTGATTCAGTGAAAAACTCATATGCACGTGTAAAATGATAAACGGGTAAAATGAAGGTTCCTAGTCTCGCCTCTAAGACTAACTCAAGTGTTGTTCGTGATCACGTTTTCTGAATCTAAGAATATCGTTAAGTGTAATGATGATCCTAAATCAACATTGAGATTATGACGTTGGAACAACGACCATACCGAATGGACCCAAACTTGTTTGTTACGAATTGAGTTAATATCGTCTGTATTCAATTGTAATAACACGGAGTGTTAGCATGTTTTTAGTTCCTCAGACCATGAGAGTGTCTCGGTCACTTTCTATCAGACGGTGGGCTTTGGGGTTGCTCAAACGTCATCTGTAACAAGGTGATCATAATGACAACTTTCAGGCTCACCAGAAAGTTTGACAAGTGACCAGACAACTCGAGAGTGGGATTTGTTCCTCTGACGATGGAGAGATATTCTTAGGGACCTCTCGGTGTAACAGCATCCATCATCGTCTGGCCAGACACAGTTGATTACATCACGGGGATGACGAAACACGTTAACGAGAAAGAAGAACAAAACCGGTAACGGGAGCAATGGTATAGTGAGCATGGTGATGACTCAAGAGGATACCGATGCACATCGGGTTTTGTAGAAGTGTTGCAAAGCAAAGGGAACATCATATGATAACCAAAGGTTCACTCGAATATCATTCATGTAATCATAGGGACCGATATGGATGTCCAAAGTTCCGCTATCGGTCATTGAATGAAGGGGTTTCGTTCATGTCTATGATTTACCAAACCTACGGGGTCACAAGCTTAAGGTAATCAAGGTCTGCTGAGTGTTAGTGGTGTGGGAGTGATGAGAATATATTTGTGAAATTGTTTCATTAATATCTGGAATAGTTTCGAGAGGTTTCGGAAGTGTTTAGGGGTCACCGAAAGGGTTTTGATGAATATTGGGTAATACCGTGTATTATATATATATAATGCTCCAAAAATGTTTATAACAAATATATATTTAATTTAATATCAATGGGCCTAATAAGGCCAAGAGGTGGAAGGAAACTTGGGCAAAAAGGCCCAAGTGGGAAAGTGCCTCCCTTCCGTAAGGAAGGGGGCTGAATTGGAGAGGGGAAGGAGTCCAACTCCTCCTCCCTTGGCTGGCTAAAGGGGAGGGAACTTGTGGCTCCCCTCCTAACCTATATATACTAGAGAATTTCCACCCTATTAGAACACAAGTTTTGGAGCCTCCTCTAGATCATCTAGTACTAGTTCTAGTTGGTCCTAGTTGACTAATTAGAGCTAGCCCTAGCCACCTCTAATCCTCAAAATTAGAAGCCCAATGTGGTTCTAATCTCCTCCCTCTAATTCGCCGGCGATGATTAGCTCTGAACAGCGAAGCGCTGCCGGATCGTGAAGACCGTATGCTTGCTACCAAGTAGAGAGGCCATGCTTTTGGTCTTACGTTCGATGGATCGTTCGAGGGTGGTTCACGAGATCGTCATCAACATTCGAGGGACTCCAAGTACGATCTACACCGACTCGTCTACTTCCGCTGCACTCCAGAGTCACTAACGACCGTTGATCCCAACCTTATGCATCTTCATATTGTTGTTGGGTGATCGTAGGTGCGATTTTTTTGTTTCCTACTATGTTTCCCAACAGTGGCATCATGAGAAGGTTTATGAGTAGATGCAGGTTGTGATCTACTCCCTCTCTACTATGCTTCTTGGTATGCTTCCCATGAGTGTTGCTTCGGTTCATTTCATCGGCAGAATGATGTAGTTTTCTACAAGGTTCTGACAATCGATCGGCTCTGCTGTTGATGATCTGCTAACAATTCCTTGGACTACATCATAGTCAGAAATAGTGAACCGTCCCGTACACAAGAGGGTGCCAAAGATGGATGATCTTCTAGGGGGGTATTGATTAAGTTTAGTGTGGGGGACGAGACTTTGAATTAAGTCTCTCTTTCACACACCCCTAAACTTAATCTAGCATCAAGAACATCTCTTTGTTGTGCTTGTGTAGGTAGCTAGTCTTATTAATAAAACTGGTTAACCACGCACTACTAGGAAAAACCTTATACATGGAGGCTTATCAGTAGCGCTAGTTAAAAAGAAGCGCTATTGCTAATTAACAGTAGCATGTGGTCACCAAGGGTGCTACTGCTATCTACATAGCAGTAGCGCGGCTCCATAAAAATGCGCTACTACTATTTTTGCCACACCGTTGCCGACAGACTAGGTATAGTAGCAGCGTCGTTCTAGAACACGCGCTACTGCTAAGGAAATAGTAGCAGCGCGTTTTCAGTGGACAGTGCTTCTACTAAGTTTGAACTGTGCCACATGGCAGCCCCACTTAGCAGTAGTGTGTGGCTTGCAGGAGCGCGCTACTGCTACTTTTTTAGCAGCAGTGCGTTTTCCCTGCCCTCGCTGCTGCTAAGGCGCAGTAGCTCTAGCCACCTTTTCCTACCCCTCCCCATCCCCCATCCTCTCTTCCTTTCACTTTCCCCTAG